TTGGATTCAACTCAAAAGACTTGGTTCAAATCACCCCCTCAGTCATGGAGCTCACTGGTTGACCCTGGGCTCTTCACACACTCTCAGCAACTTTTTAAGGATAAAAAAGGGAGGAAGAAAGCCATATGTATGTTGCTTTGCCGTCACCAAGAGAAAGAAAGATTATAAAAATGACAAATAAGTAAATTAAGCAGTCGAATTCTCCTCTTCAGCTGCAAAGTCTTTTGGTATGGTTTTCCTCTAACCCCTATGAAGACTGTCTACATTCACAGGCTCATAATTTAAAAAGACACAGCACACCATTGGAAGGAAGGAAGGAAGGAAGGAAGGAAGGAAGGAGTCCTGGGGAAAACGTCCTGAAAGGAGGCTGGCCTTCTGCTTGCACAAGCCAACATGGGTCCTTCTTCCCTTCTGGGAGGAAGCACTGCCCACCCCCTCACCCCCCACCCCCAAACACTCACCCGGTTAATGAGCAGATTCTGGGGCTTCAGATCCCTGTGCAGGACATTTCGGCTGTGGCAGAATCCCAGCCCCTTCAGCAGCTGATACATGAAAGACTGTGGAGGGAGGGGAGGGGAGAGGCGAGGTTGGCACTCCCCCCCCAGCTCCAAAGCCACTGCCTCTCTCGGGCAGCTCCAGGGCCGCCCGAGAGAAGGTCACGCTCCTGGTCAACTGGGCAGCCTCCCTGGGTTGCACAGCAAACACGGACCCCTGGCAGGGCCCACCCCACCCCCACCTCACCTTCACAATTTCAGGGTCCAGGTCGCCATTACAGCTGTCAAAGTACTTCTTTAGATCCTGCAAGGGCCAAAGGAACGGGTGTGAGGGAGGGAGAAATCAGTTGCCAGAGGGAAACCCGTGCGCCTGCGCTGCTCACCCCTCCTCTAATGCTCATGCTTTGGGGGAACTCTGGGTATTTAAACATCTCCCTCTCCTGGAAGTGAAAAGGTCGGAACTAAGCCTGGCCACCCAGGAGGGATATTTTTATCTGCTTGCTACTGCTCTCCTCGGGCAGGGTCCCCCTCGTGTTCCATCCAGACAGCTTTCTTCTGAGGCCTTCTTTGGGGCCTTATTTGTTGAGGGCAAAGGGGTATATAAGGCTCTGCAGGGTGGGGGGGAGTGGGCTTTTCTGCCCCTCTCAGAACACCAGAACCCGGCAGGGTCTGCAGTGATGCCGAAGGGCGGGAGATGCGGGGCAGCTTAGAGCTGGTCCTCCTTCACATTGTGTAACTGAGCTGTGGAACCCACTGCCACTAGATGTGGCGACGGGTGCCGAGCTGGGCGGCTCTGAAAGGCAACTGGGTAAAGTCTCAGGACACCCACATCAGAAGAGCTCCATGCCGCCTCCAGAGGTAGGATCTCGCCCTGCCCTTCCTTCAGTGAACAGGGCCCGTGGAAGGGCCCTTCACACCCAGCGATGCCCATTCCGCCCAGCAGCATCCGTGACCTTCTAGGGCTCAGGGATGAATTCTGGCCTCGCCTCCCCCAGAGACTCCAAGCATTCCTTGGTAAGGGTCGCCCATGAAGGACTAACCAGCCCCCCCACCCGCTTCGCTCCCAAAGCCCAGTGGGCTCAGAGCGGTACCGCCCGCAGCCCCTACTGAATGGGGTTTCTCTCTCTCTCTCTCTTCTCTCTCTCACACACACACCATACCTGGTCACAGAATTCAAAGACCAGGGTGAGCTTCTTGTCACTGTGAAGGACATCGTGCAGCCTAGAGGTGGGAAGAACAGAGACTTCCATGAACTCACCCAAGCCAGTCAGGGACACCAACGTCCCGCCACTGTCAGCCACCCTCCAATTTTGCCAAAAGCAGGAACAAGCAAGGAGCCTCATGGGACCCATAAGGTTGGGAAGCGGGACTGGGTCTCCCCAGGGCCCAGAGAGGGCCCCCCACGGAATGCACAGTGCTCTTTCTTCTAAAACCTTCAAGTCTGTTTTTTTTGAAGGTGCTCAACCTGAATAAAGGAAATAACTTAAATAAAGGAAAAGAGGAAAGCCAGCAGAAGCAGCAAAATTACGGAACAATAAACCCAGTACACATTGGGTGAAAAATGATTTTATAAGCTTTGTGGGAGGCTTCTATGTACCACGGAGGGAGCGGCTGAGAGCCTCAAGAAGCCCGGAAGCAAGGGCCTTGCTCCACCCTTACAAAGGCATGCCATCATGACCGGGTGCAACCGAGGCACGGAGAGCAGTACCGGCCATCTCGACACGTCACTGTGGTGCCCCCTAAGCTCCCTGATCACGTGGATGCCTTAGTGCTTACAGAGCGATCGGGCGGGAGAAAATGAACAGAAACAGGGCCGTATTGTATGACAACCCCCCCCCCTTCTCCGACCCTCACACAGACTTTGCTCTCCCAGCCAGTTGGCTAGGATTCTAGAGTCTGTATTAGAGCTGCTGGGAACCCCTTGTTCCTTGCCTGCTGAAAGCTGCCCTCTCAGGGAGTTCACAAGGTTGATACCGGAGTAAATAAGACATAAGTTTTTCTTTTAACTTTGGGACCAGGATGTCATTTAAAGAGAATTTCATTCGAATGAGGCACACTTTTTTTCTCCTGAGGAAGCCTACCCCCAAAGTTGTGAAAACCTCTTATGTACAGTTTCAAAATATTTTTAGTTCTCTTTTACAGCCGAGGCGTATAAATATAAAGGAAGATCCAGCCAGCCCAGGATTGCATTACAAAAGTCACACAAAAAGTCCAGGCAGCCATTTCCAAACTGTCTTCAAGGGCAGCCCCATGTAAGAAAGGGTGCATTGCCGTAGTCCAGCTAGGAAGAACCCAATGCACAGGCGGCTGAGACCAGGTTTGGTGCTCCAAAGAGGGATGTTGACGGCATGCAGGCCCGCGTGGGTAGAGGGCACCCCTGCCCACCACGAGTGCCAGTGACTCTCTGCCACAGGAGCCCGAGAGCTGTTCCCATCTGTGCCCCGAATCCTCTAACCGCAACCCCATCCCGCCTGGAAGGGCCACAGATGGGCTGGCTCTCCAGTCCACCCCCATCCCTGCCCACCCCTCTTCCCAGAGTAGGTCTCCCTCGGTTCCCCCACCCCTCCTTCCCAGGGCCACCTTGCCTTCTGGAGCCCCACTGCTTCCTGTAGCTTCCCTTATGGAGCCCGTCCACCACCCACCCCTCTGGCGTTCCTCTGTTCCTGCTGCCTTCCCACTTCCCCTGCTTGCTGTCTTTCCCGGCGAGCCTTGGGCCCAAAGGACAGATCGAGCCTCAAGAACAAGCTCAGGCTCCCTTTGGTCTCGCGCCCACCCGTTCCTCTTTCTCTCGAGGATGCTCCTGCGCTGGAAATGTGACGGCAAGAGTGCCTGGAGGCCAAGAGAGACTTCGGAAAGCTCTTCCAGGGCAGAACCCGAAGCAGCCCCCCAGCTCTCTGCAGCCCCGCTGCCCCCTCACGGGAGGCTCCGCTGGCCCCCTGCAAGCCCCCACGGGAGGCTCCTTGCGCAAGGGCGCGCTGGCCGTCCAGGGAGGAGCCTCCTTGCTCAGAGGGAAGCGGCGCGGCCAGGCCCGCTCCCAGTTCTGGAAGGCTGTGCGCCCACCCCTTGGGCTTGGGTCCCGGAAATCGCGTGCGGAAGACGCTCAGACCCAGCCGTGGCTCCCCCCAGGCCAGCAAAGATGCTGAGGCCCTGGACCCCTGCCAAGGTCCCAAAGCCCTCGCTCAGCCCCGCTCAGTCACGGGGATGGGGTGGGGGTGGGAGTGGGGGCCTTGAAGCAGCTCACCCTCCCTTCC